TTCCTACTTACATACAGATTCAACTTAAGAACAAACCTACAGTCCCTATCTTGTACGTAACCCGGGGACTGCCTGTATAGAGCATAGGAAGAGGAGAGATCTCTTTTGTAGAGGTCCTTGCTGTCTGGGTAGCAGGTTTAAAACTAATAAAAGAAAGTTCTTCTTCACACAGCGTGTAGTCAACCTGTGGAACTCCTTGCCAGAGGAGGCTGTGAAGGCTAGGACTATAATAGAGTTTAAAGAGAAGCTAGATAATTTCATGGAGGTTAGGTCCATAAAAGGCTATTAGCCAGGGGATAAAATGGTGTCCTTGGCCTCTGTCTGTCAGAAGCTGGAGAGGGATGGCAGGAGACAAATCGCTTGATCATTGTCTTCGGTCCACCCTCTCTGGGGCACCTGGTGCTGGCCACTGTTGGTAGACAGGATACTGGGCTAGATAGACCTTTGGTCTGACCCAGTATGGCCGTTCCTATGTAGAAGATGCAGTGGAACATGCAAGCAAACTACAGGTTGTAAGCAGGAGAGGTTTTCTCCAAGACACCAGGGACTACATCTACACTGTAGGCTTCTTGCGCGAGAACTGTTTTGCGCAAGAGTTCTTGCACAAATTCTCGTGCAAGCATGCATCCACACTGCCATGTGGTTTTGTGCAAGAGCATCCATGGCAGTATGGACGTTCTCTTGCACAAGACAGCTCTCATGGCCATTTTAGACAAGAAATCCCAGTTGCCCGTCCACACTGCCTTCTTGTGCAAGAGGGCTTATTCCTTGTGGGGTGAGGAATAACTCTTGTGCAAGAAGCCCTCTGTTCTGATGTTTTACTGTAAATTTACTTGTGCAAGAATTCACGTGGGCTGTGTCTACACTGGCATGAATTTCCGGAACAGCTTATAACGGAATACTATTCCGTTTTCAGTTTTTCCGGAAAAGGAGTGTCTACATTGGCACATTTTTTCTGGAAAAGCGTCTGTGGCCAATGTAGACGCGCTTTTCCGGAAAAGAGCCCCGATCGCCATTTTTGCGATCGGGGCTTTTTTCCGGGAAAGACTACTGGGCTGTCTACACTGGCCCTTTTCCGGAACAGTGTTCCGGAATAAGGACTTATGCCCGAGCAGGAGCAGAATAGTTTTTCCAGAATAGCAGTTGACTTTGTACAGTAGAGCATCGTTGCTTTTCTGGAAATTCAAGGGCCAGTGTAGACAGCTCGCAGCTTATTCTGGAAAAGCGGCTGGATCTGGCCCATAATGATTTGTCACATGAGTGGGGATTGCAGAACCAGGGTGCTGTAGAATGAGACAAAGCTTTGGGGTGTAGGCACTCTGCAAGCTTTTGCACAAGAATGGCCATTCTTGGGCAAAAAGCCTGCAGTGTAGATGTAGCCCAGGAGAAGGTGCTGTGGGAGTGGTTGGGGAAGTAACCTAGGGAGAGACTGCTATTCTGCAGAAATGGGGCAAGAGCCCCATTAGTGGAGGCTATCTAGAGCCCTGGCCAGAACCTGGAGTGAGTGGGACCAGATTCCCCCCAACCGTCCTCATATCTGGTGGTCTGCCGTGAGAGAAAAGGAGACCTTGGGACTGCAGAAGGGTTTCCCCTCCAAGCTATGACTGGCCTATGATGAAAGTGGCTCATTAAGTGGGGAACCTTTGCCACTGATAAAAACAAGAGGCAGTGGAAGGATCCCCTCTGAGGCATCTAAAAATCTGCCAAGAACACAGGACCAAAGGGCACAAGCAGAGCTCTGCCTCGCACGGTAAAATGTCCTCCTGCAGCAAAGAGAGAGAACCCAGAAACCTTCAGTAGAGGATTGCAAACATCAAAGTTTCAGTGAGATCTTTTTGAAGGCTTCAGGGGATGTTCTGGTGCATGTAAACAAACTCTTCCATGTTGCCCCTTCAGCCTAACTTTAGAAGGGAATGAAAAGTAGCCAGCAACTCTGCATGTCTGTTGCCTCTTCTGGCACAATAAAACATAGTAGATCGAGAGGTGTGCCCTGCTACCTCGGGAGTTCCATTCCAGTTATTTCAAAGCAAATGGCAGATGTAACAGAGATTTGTTCTCTGGCATCCAGCTTCTCTGTGTTGGACTATAGCACTGGCTGCACTGTGGTGGAGTCAGAAACATGTCCTGGCTTACTGTGTAGCTAGATTTCCCAGTTGCCAGGCCCCCACATTCCTTCTTCGTCCAGCTCCTCCTTGCTGTCCACAGCAGGGGGGCTGTAACTTGGGCTTCTCCAAAGTACCCACAGGGCTCTCAAGGTCATGCTGAGGTCTCCAGCAAGGATGGCATGCAGGTCTTTGTCAAAGTGGCAGGGGGACCCCTGCCACAACGCCTAGGCTTTCAGAAGACACTGTTACTGGTCCTTCTTGTAGCCCTCTGAAGCAGTCCCTGAGCAATCTGTTCATAATGTCCATATTTCTGTGACTAGAGTGGAGTTGTGCCTGGACATCCTCTTTTCCCCTAGAGGCCCAACACCACCTGTGTGCTCCAGGCAGGAGTGTATTTGCAATGGGTGCCTGTCATGGTCAGCGGGACACTTACAATAGTGGAGCGAGGCTAGATGTGCTTATCAAGCCAAGCAATCAGGAAAAAAGTTCAAAAATTTGTGGGGCTTTAAAAGTAGCTTCTTGACCACTCTGGTTGCCATTGTGAACTCACTGCCCAATGGTCAGGTGGACATGGAAGACATTGTCGGACAGCTCGTGGAGGCCAAGAATAGTTGATGTACATAACACAGCATCTATACTGATGCTGAATGGACCTAACCACAGTGACCCTGAATCTATGCTGTTTGGGAAGGTGTTGTTATTAAGTT